GTTTCCCCGATTTCCTGCCTCTGCCCCAGTGAGGAGCTTAAGCAGGTAGAGTCCCCTGGGAAGCGTGGATGACAGCAGGAATCCCGAACAGCCGAGTGAGCACATCTATAATAGGAAAAGGGCTTTGAGATTCACTGAGAAGGGTTGCGGAGGCCTCCGCATCTGCACCAACATCCCCACACTTAAGATGTGGCGGCTGGCAAATTGAAGCAGCAGCCATATCATCAGCTCGTGATGCGATAATGAGAAATAGGGCTCAGGCCCAACACTTCTGTTTTGTGTGTCAGGCACTGCATGTGATTTCACTTGGAAAATGTCTTCGAGACCTTTAAAATAAGTTTGCAGAACCGCTGGCTGAAGTCCTTGAGGCTATTTGATGAATGCAGGAAGCAGGAATGGTAGAGGGACTTTCCTTCCAGAAACTCCGTATCACCCCAGACCTCCTGGACTCTCCCCAGGTGGTTTCCTGGAGGCTGTCCCACCTTCACAGCAGCCTGAGATGTTCTGAGGATAATACAGAAGCAGATGTTGTGTGGATTTGGTCCAGCTCAAGGCCCGTGACTCACCAGGATAACTGAGCCTCCCTGGCAGAGAACACCATTCTCAGAGGAGTCTATGAAGCCAAGGAAAAACCCCAAGGCCTGGACACTTCCAGGACTTTTCCTGAAACTTCCTAGAAATGTCAACCCCATTAGGCCACATTGGGCCTCAGAGATGGAGGAGCTGGTACAAGCCGGTGGTGGGAGAGATGGGGAGGGGTCAGGGTGTGGAGGTAAGATGCTCAGAAGCAGGGAGGTCAAGGCCTTGGCAATGCATTAGGTGAGGCAGCCTAGGAGGGTCTTGGATGATCATTGTCACTGCACATTTATTTTCCAGCCCTGCTCGAAGCTAGTTCTCTTCTCTACTGTGACAATAAAATTACAAGCAATAAACATCTGTAACCGGACCACCAGAGCCTGAAACTGAAAAGGCAGCGTAGAGAGTATTACAGGGTGGATTTGTAACAGGGCGCAGCCAGGAGAGGGTCCCCCAAAAGAATTTGGAATGGGGTCCAGAGCTCAGGGTGTCCAGAAAATATTAAGATGTCCTCACCCCCCTGCCAGGTGTCAGTTGGGGGAAGGGACAAATGGAGCAGGGCCATTGAGAGCTGTTTTGCATAGCAACGGTTTTGCAGCTAACCTCTAGAATGGTCATTTAACCTATCTCTAACCTTTAACTGGTTTCATAGATATGTTAAATAGCTGTGGCCATGCTTTGAGCCAGGGAGAAGGGAGTGGCTTCTACCCGGGATGTAACTGGGGGCTGGTCCCCCCCCCCCAACAGTTACGGAGCCTGCATGAGAGCTTGGAGTTGATTGGCTCCACACCCTGGAGCCACACCTGCCCAGACTCACAATGGCAGCCCAGTAAACTTGTAATAATACGGGAGTCCTGGCAGGTGTAACCAATGTGGGAGGAGTTGGAAATGGGGCTGCAAAGGAGGACTGGAGGGGGGGGGATTTAAATGCAGATGCGGCAGCCATTGGAGAGAGAGCCACTCGGTTTGGGGCAGAGTGAGGACCCCTGCAGTCATGTAAGAGAGAGCCATGAGGTTCTGGGAAGAGTCAGGACCTCCTTTTGCCTAGGTGAAAGGGAGAAGCATGTGGTTTCAGCAGACTAAGGATCCCCTCTTGGCCAGGTGAAGAGAGAGTCACGTGGTTTTGGAGGAATGGAGACCCCTGCAGCCAGGAGGAGAGAGAAAGCCACTGCAGCCAAGAGAGAGACGCTTTTGGTCAGAGTGCTGACCCCTACAGCTCTGGTAGAAGAGGCCCATGTGGCCTTGGGGTGCTCCCTTTGGCTGTGTGGCCTGGAAAGCAGGAGAGACTTTGAATGGAAAAATGGGTACAAAGAACTGCCAATGAGTCATGAGAAGGTGGCACATGACTTTGGATTAATTGGAAATCCTGCCTGGATAGTGACACAGCTGACAATGCCAACGGTCTGAAACACAGACATGTGCTTCTTTTTCTGAGATACAGTACCCCGAATTAGGGCAGGGGGGAAGGAAGCGCTGTGGGAGTCTGTAGTTATCCTAAAGGACTTTGATATTTTTATGGGGACTTTTACAGACTCACTACTGTAAGTCTGTATAACTTTAAATAAACCTTTCCTTTCCTTCCCACAAATCTCTGGCATTGAGAGATGTCTTTCCAATTGGCAGCGGACAGACCAGCCCAGTAGGTATTAGTATACCATCCTTGGGAGGGGCCCCGTTTTCTGTAACGGTTTTTGGCATCCATCGGTGGGCCAAATATTGCCCCCCTTGGACCTCTGTTCTGTAACAGATTGAGGGGCAACAGCCTACCGTGACTTAACCTACGGGTTAGGCAGATGTAGGTTTAAATGCCCACTCTGCCATTTACCAGCTGAATGACCTTGTACAAGTTTCTCAGCCTCCTCTGGCTTGGTGGCTTCATTCATAAAATGAAAATGAAGTTGTGAGAATGACTTGAGATTGTCTGTATCTATAGCAAAAAAAGGCTTAGCATAATGTCTGCTATAATGTATCTACCCAATAAATGATTACAGTTGGTTTTTTTTTTTGTAATTTGTCCAGTTCTGACTTAGGTTCACCAGGTTCCCATTTGGGCACTCTGCCTCTGAGCCATTTCTCTGAAGCCCATGCCTCTGAGAAACACCCTAACTCCAGCTGCCCACAAGGATTTTCATATTTCATCCACACTGATTCCTTGTTATGGTGCTTCATCCACATACGGCAATACTATCTATTCATCCTTGAATACCTCCATCATCACAGACTGATTGCCTCAACAGGGGCCAGATATCCAGATATCTGTTGCCCACAAGAGCTACTCTCCTCCATCAACCCAAGAAGCTCATTGCTTACCTGAGAGCAGTGCCTCCCCATTATGCAAATCTAGGCACAGGCCTTGTTCCCCTTCTTATGAGCCTGCCATGCCCCAAAGATTGTAGGTACACGACATGGTGAGCTCATGGAGGGACCTGGCAGTCCTTGGAGCTTGTCACAAGAAGCAGTTTCTAGTCACCCTTTGTCCTAGTGATTCGTAAGGCTTCTTTGAGTTCTAAAATTCTATGATGAATGATTCTATTCCTAGCTTACAAAAGCACCACCAGACAAACCACACCTACTTCCTTTCTCTCCTCTGCCTTCCAGCTTTGGTGAACGAGCCTGTGGCCATTGAATTAAATGCTATGATGTGCTGAAAGCAAGGTGAAGTGGGGTGGTGGTGGTTGTGCAACCACTGGCGTTGCCACAGTGGAAAAAGGCTCTCGGTGAAAGTGGAGGTGTGCAGAGGATGTGCTGCCCCCACTAATTCATTCGATCACCCATTTATTCATTCATCAAGCCAGTAGTCATCAAATATACATGCAGTATTTGACAGGCTACTTATGAAGGAGAATAAAACCAGACATCTGTCCCAAGAAGCGCACATGCAATCTAGAGCAGAGACAATCACAATGCGGCGTGGTAAGCACGGTGACAAGGAACTCTGCAAGTTCCGTGGCAACACTGGAGACATGTATTCAGACCAGGATGGGGTGGATAGGTGGCAGCAGCAGGAAGAGATCCTAGAACAGATGACTTAAGCTGAAGCTTCAAAGATGAGTGGGAGCTGGCCAAATAGAAAGCAAACACTAATGGCTGCCTTTACAAAGGCTCACACATGTGTGAGAACTTGAAATACATAAGGATTCACAGGTGCGTTGATACTGTGTTGAGAAAGGGATTTGTTTTTAGTGATGAACAATAGGAGGCCAGTCTAGTGGGGCAGGCAGAGGTCAGATCCGGGAGGGCTGTGTGTTTGAGCTTAGGAGGTTCGACTTTATTTCAGGGGCTGATTGGAGATACTGGCTTAAGAAACTCAAAAAACCATGGCTGGGTGGTAGTGTGATAGGGCACAGGAGTGGACAGCTGTTGGGTTTGGCTGGACTGAATCCAAACTTACTGTCACGTAATATCAAATTTCCCTTGGGGGGCTCACAAATTGCATACAACTATCTTGGCTAAAAGATGTACGCAGGGGCGATGCGGAAGCTTAGTAAGTGCTCATTGCTCTATGAGTTACCCTAATTTAGAAATGAGGCACAGCAGAAGGCTGGCGATCTCTATGTCTACCTCACCCTCCTCCCTCTTGTATTCCCAGTGCTTAGCACATGGGAATGTGCTAAGCTAATATAGATACTCAATATTATTGAGTAAATGAACAAACAAACGGGAGGCATATCCTGACTAAAAACATCATGTGACAGTGTAAACTTCAGTGGGCTTTGCTCTCCCCACCCATAGACAGGCTCTTACCACCAAAGTGGACTTCCATTAATCTAGGTAAGGGCAAGGGGCACAGGAGGAAAAGGTTGAACTCTTAGACCTGACAGAGGACCACAGCTCTGTGTCATGATGATGATTCTCACACTTACGCTCCCCTCCAGGACAGTGACAACATCCCCATTATTTAATGTTAAATTGTGTTAATCAGATGCTGGGACAAAGAAAAAGAAGGGAAGGTGAGCTGACCTACTCTGTTTATACTGGTTGCATTATCCTCAATCTTAATCTTTGCAGGGCTGGAGAGAAGAAAAGAGAGGAGAGGAGGGGAGGGAAGAAGAGACAAGAAGGAACATAATACCTGATACATATTAGGAGCTCACAGATATGTGACCAACTTCCCACCTGGCTCGGGCTCAGTAAATGATAGCTTACATTACTCAGGGTCCTTACCACAACCCTGCAAGGTAGGCACTCTTGCTCTCATGTTTGAGCTGAGGACACAATAGATTCTCTCAAGGCTGCATAGCTTGTAAGTAGGATCTGAATGCAGGTCTTCCTGACTCCAAAGTCCAGGCCCCCTCCTCACTATTAGCTCCTTTTAACATGACAAATGGCACTGGACACCTATAACTCAGTACAGGTGGGTTGACACTATGAGGGCAGGAGCTGAAAGGTACCATACATATTAGGGACATCAAAAGCAGCCATACCCGCTCTGGTGTTGGCAAAGTGATGAATTCCAGCATGAGACAACCAGGTTCCTTCTTCCAAAGGCCATGTTTCACTGAGGTCCATGTTCAGCAAGTCTTTTGTACGTGCAGTTCTCACATCAAATGATACCTCCTAAAATAAATAATGAGCAAAAACAATGGAGATCAATTACTACTGATGCTCTCTTGGGAAGGGGAGGCTTTCTTGAAGAAAAGTAGCTGCTTTCTAGTTTATTGTGTTTCTTTAACATGCAAACATTATTGTCAATATTTGGTCATGGCCTGAGTGTTCGATCTTCCAGTGAGGCTGCTCAAGTCCAGGAACCACAGCTTCTCTCCATCAGTTAACTAATGTTTATTGTTAACTGAGCAACTCTTACATGCCAGGCTTTGAGCAAGGAACTTGCTGTTTGGTTCTGCATATTTTGTAGACTTTTAGAATTTCAGAATTGGATACAGTGGGGGTATCAATTTTGTAAAAATAAGTAGGTATATACTATATATATACACCTGAGAAACAGACTGGAAAAAATTCGAACTAAAAAGTTGGAAGTAGCTACCATTGTATTGGAAATATGAGTGCTTTTTATTGTTTTTGTAATTTTCTACATTTTCCACAATAAATATGCATTCTTTTTATAGTATGAAGTTATCTATAATTAATATTATCTTAAAGAAAAACTTCAGGGCCAAGAAGGACCATAGAGATTAATTTTGCATTCCTCTTGAAAACTATTATAAAAAGTCACAGGCTACGAGGGCCCTTGGCTCTCCTAAAAATGACACCTCACTGGCTGTGCTGCCCCCAAGAAGTCCAGCCTGGAGAATGTCTACCTATAAACTACATTTGGGAAGATCACAGCTCATGGCTAAACTTTGCCCATAATGCAAAGAGATCTTCATAATGCTCTGCAGGTAGGAGGTCATTAAATGGACATGGCTGAATAATTGAACATGACTGATTGACCTAATCAGTGAACACAGCATGTGGAACATCCACATGGCAGAAATCCTGTTGGCCTAATTACAATGGGCAGCCATTATCATTTGTTGTAACCAGAGCACCTGGCTTGACTTGGTCTCCAGAATGCTGTTCAAAGTTGCCCTGCAGACTCTTGCACAGCCACCCAGCTGCAGACCTGGCAGTCTGATGTGTTGCTTTTTGGCTGTTGGCCTAGAGAACTGTAGTACTCTTGGGGGTTGCAGCAAACAACCAGAAGTCTCTAGTACAATAACAGGAGGTACCAAAGATTGTGCTGCACTTTATTGGGTACTGGCTTGCTAGGGTTTTGTGTTCAATCTGAACACCCAAAGTTTTAGAAGGGAATCCTTGATCAGAGTGGATACCACACAATACCATGGTGAAACTGTTGGACTTTTCAATATATCCAGATTTTAGTCTTGACTTTGGGACTAATTGAGTGACTTTGGGCAAACTGCTTATTCTTTAGACTTAATTTCCCTAATTTGAAGTGAAGAAATTAGGACTAGATGTTGTTAAAGGTCTGTTTAGTCTTTTAAGACTTGCAGCCTATAATAATACATTTCTACTTTCAAAGGCAACCTCTCCACCCACATCAAGAAATGTGCATTATTTTTCTATTAGCATACAACTCTGCAGTAAGATATGGCTGGCTAGGGCTAAAGGTGGTCTACCGTTGGATGAGAACATGTTCTCTATGTGAAAATGAAAACATTTTCTACACATAGATTTCCACGTCTGGAATGGAAATCCAGTCTTGGGCCATTATCACTGGTCTCATCATTTAATCAAATGAATTAACTATTAACACCTTGCATATTCACCAACCATGAAATAAATTTAACAAAAATACTACATCCTTAAAAAATAGCACTTATTAAAAATAGACCGGTCACTGAAAACCATTTCATTAATCCCTGCAGTATCCTTCAGGAGTGAAATTCTAAGAGCTTTGTTGGTGTACTGTACAAAAACAGAGCTGTACTGATGAAGTGGAGAGTGGTTTTCAGAGTACATTTTCCATCCTTCTTGACCCAGGGGCCTAGGCACCTAGTGGACCCAGGAAACAGATTTGCAAGATGATATTCCCTACCCCTGTGAGGTCAGGCTCTCATATCCTCACATTTTAATTTATTAATCTTAACTACACAGGTTCACATTGAGTGTTGTATTAACTTCAACCCACAAACCCTGATGATTTCTCTGATGCCAGAATTCCACACTTCGATGTTTGGGGAAGATAAGCATAAAATGTGAATGAAATTACCGCAAACACAAGTATTTCCAAGATGACTTTGATCAATCACATCTGTTACTGAAACTCTAGCCCTATCAATCACTTCGGTCACAGGGAGCCCCAGAGGTGATCGAGAAACTTTGGAGCCTAGGAAATATTTCCTAGGCCTCTGGCAAATATGAAACAAGGTGTTTGGGGTTTTCTATAATGTGTTTAAATTGTTAACCCAAAATCTCTCAATACCTAAGTCCACGAAGAAGAAGCGTAAGAGAAAAAAATAATGCAGCCATGGAAATAGGAAGTGAGGAAATAATTTACTCTTAAGCAGCACGTGGCAGCTCAAACAGTGCGGGTGTGATAAGGTGGGGTGGCACGAGTGGGAAAGCCAATTGAAAACTTACAATTGTAATTCTGACTTTGAGACATACTTTTCTGAAGAGGTGTCTCTACTCCCATGTTTGTTGCAGCATTATTCCCAGTAGCCAAGGTATGGAAATAACCTAAGTGTCTTGTTAACAGATGAGTGGCTAACATGTTACATTTATAAACACACACATGTGCAATGGAATATTGTTCATCTATGAGAAAGAAGGAAATCCTGCTATTTGGGACAACATAAGTGGACCTGGAGGGCATTACGCTAAGTGAAATAAGCTAGATGGAAAGAGGCAAATAAAACATGGCATCACTTATATGTGGTCTCTAAAGAGATAAAAATAAAACTCATAGAAACAGAGTAGCAAAGTGGTTACCAGCAGTAAGGATGTAGGGGAAATAGGGAAAGGGTGGTAAAAGTGTGCAAACATTTGGCTATAAAATAAATACATACTGAGGAGCTAGTGTATAATATGGTGACTATAGTTGATTACGTTGTATTATATAACTGAAATTTGTTAAAAGAGTAGAACTAAAACGTTTCTACAAAAAGAATATAAATAAGTGAGGTGATGGATGTGTCAAGTAGATGGGAGGAAGCCTCTCACAATGCAGACATATATCAAATCATCACGATGTATACTTTAAGGATCTTAAAATATTATTTGTCAAATATAACTCAGTAAAGCTGAAAAATGAAATACAGAGCAGAAAGTGGGGACAAAGAGGAAGAGAGAAGAACTAAAACACCTGCATAATTGGACACTGGAATCTATGGAATACTAGAATGTTATGAATAAATATTGACATTTAATAAATATTGACTGATTGAATGGATGGATAAATGATTATAGCCAGTGGATAAGGACCTTAGTCAGATATCAGATACCAGTGAGTTTCCAAAAGAGTCCTGTCTACCCTGAGAGAGTGATGTGAACTCAGTTGGGTCAGTAAACTTAAGGAAGTGTAGCCGTATGGCTCTCCGACCATGAAAACTCTCCTTAAACTAACACTTCCTGTCTTTTCAGAGTGGCCTCTAGAGTGAGCCATCCACTGAGCTGCCTGAGCCAGAAACTAGCCATCCTTGTTTGCCTGATTACAACTCACATTCAATCAATTGCCAAGTGGTTGTCTGTTCTAACTTCAAAACGTTTCAAGAATGTATCTGCTTCTCTCTGTTTGCATTGACTCAGCCTTGGTTCAGCCACCATCGTCTCTTGATGAGATCCTACAAAGACTTCATTGGGTTTTGGTCTCCTTTCTTCCAACTCATTCTCCACACTTTGTTGTAATAATATTTTTAAAACACAAATATGATCACACCACTTCTTGGTTAAAATACTCCAATGATTCAACATTCCCAGGAGACAGTCTGGACCACTAAACATGGCATCCAAAGTCCAAGGATAGTGAAGTGTTCGCAATCCCTGAGTAAGACCCCTTGTTTCATTTTTTGTGAATTCAGTTCCTGGGGCTCTGGCAAGATTGTTCTTCCTGCCTTATGGTACTATCTACAACTTACTATTCACATCTCCTCTTAGATTTGGTCACATGTTCCTCTCAGACTTCCTGGTGCTTACCCTATTGCAGCATATATCACATTACACTGCAATTGTCTGTGAATATATCTCTAGAGTTTCATCCATAGTTTATGTACTTGAGAGCAGAGATCCTACTTATTATATATCCTTAGCATTTATACAATAGTTGTCACAAGGTAAGCACTCAGTGTATATTTATTGCATAAATTAATCTACAAGCATATCTCGGTTTAACATATCCATTTGGAAAGTATTCATTCACTTTGCAACCCCACCCTCCTCCTCTGCTTCTTTAGAAATTTCTCCACCTAACACTGCACCTTATCTGCCTCTGCTTCCTGAACCCATTCTGACCTTCTCGGCCAGTCTAACTTGCTGAGATTCACCCACCTATGCTCCCACTTCAGACTGCACACCTGCTCCTCTGCCCAGAATGCCATCAGGACCTCCTCATATACCTGCCTCCCTCCCAAAGCTTGGGATGAAACAACACAGCATACACCTGCCAACCAAATGCAGCCAAGTCCCCCCTCAACGTCTAACCAACACCTCCAGGGTCATTTCTGATGGAGAGGGCTTGATTTAGGAACACAAATACAGATAAACCATGGCTACACTTTGACTCTGTCTCAACTGCCATGATATAGGTCCATCTGTAGAGAAGGAATTAATTACCTAGGAGTGGCATATTTGGGGAATTGAAAGGTATATGCCGTCATTCAGGTATGCAAGCAACCATGCATTCTAAAACTATGAACACTTCACTGCAAGCAAGCCCATTTCCTGATAACTTATATTATAAATCGAGATATACATAAGTGTAGAGACATATACAAAATGAATTTATTCATTCATTTGATAAATATTTACTTAGTGTCTCCTAACCCACTAGTCACTGTCCTAAATGCCTGGGATATAAAAGGATAAATATTGCCCGTCCTTCAAGGAGTTTTCGGCCTTGCAGGGGAGACACATATCTGGATATAACATTACAGAAC